CTAAAACATATAAGGAACAGTTGCTGGAATTGGGGATGTCTAGTTTAACGAAGAGAAGGATGAGGGGGACATGATAGCAGTCTTCCAATATCTCAGGGGCTGCCACAAAAAAGAGGGAGTCAAGCTATTCTCCAAAGCACCTGAAGGCAGGACAAGAAGCAACGGATGGAAACTGATCAAGGAGAGAAGCAACCTAGAACTAAGGAGAAACTTCCTGACTGTTAGAACAATTAAGCAGTGGAACAACCTGCCTCCAGAAACGGTGAATGCTCCAACACTGGAAGTTTTTAAGAAGAGACTGGACAGCCATTTGTCTGAAATGGTATAGGGTTTCTTGCCTGAGCAGGAGGTTGGACTAGATGACCTCCAAGGTCCCTTCCAAGTTTACTATTATTATTATAGATGGATGAGCTGCAGGCAAAGCAAAGGATACCTCCCCCCCTGATGACTTTGCAGGCAGATGGATGGCTTTCCTTTCCTTTCCTTCCTTCCTCCCCCCCCACACCCCATAGCAAAACCCACCCTCCTATAGCAAGACCCACTTCGCTCTTACAATGCCTCAATTGTCAGTGATTATCATCTGTAAATGCCACCTATGAACTGGCAGCCTTTTTTCCATTGCCCCCACCTCCTTCCTTTTCTCTTTTGTTCAGGAGCCTTGTGGCCCAAGCCTTGATTGTGCTTGGCTAAATTCTTTCCCAGGCTGGTGGGCTTAATTTTCATCCCCAAGGCTTTACCTGCTACATTCAGGTGGAGATGAATGGAGAAGAAAGCAACCTGGCACCTTTTGCCGATAAAGATATTCTTGTCCTTAGACTGTCTTTTGTGGCGGAGAATGGCACTGAGGGGGCCAATTGAAAATTAGCGTATTTAATCAGGCTTTGAATGACGGGTTGAAGAAGGGAGAGAATTAATGCTGGTATCATCAAAGAATGAAACTTTAGCAAGGAACTCCTGTTTATGGAAAGAGGGGGGTTACAACCAGTTACTTCCTCTGATTTAGTGCAATCCAGGATGATGGGCAAGGCCTGCGGGACTGTTCTCTGTCAAGGCAATGAAACCAGGACTTGCAGAATTTAGTGGACAAGGAAGAGATGCTTCATACATTACACTAAGTCAGTGTTTCCCAAACTTGACAATTTTAAGGCATGAGGACTTCAACTCCCAGAATTCCACAGCCAGCAACATGCTGAACCAGAGCGTCTTCTAGTAACGTTCTAATTGGATTACTTTATTCTGCTCTGTATGTGGCTAATCTTCAAGGCAGCTTCAGATAGTGCCAAATACTGTATGAGGGCATGGTTGATTTGGAGATGGTCAAAATCCTGTTCTGGTGGAAGAGAAAGTTTTTGTACCTCAGGATAAAACTGTGGGGTCCTTGGAACTCTCTGAACTAGGGGGTTTTCTTGCAGACATTTCATTACCCAACCAGGTAACATCATCAGTGTTGTTATTAGAGTGCTAGAATTCACTGATTCAATGAATTACGCCATTGCGATATGGTTGCCCCAGTTAAAACATAAAAGTGTTTTCTATGGTTCTTCATATCCTGATATATAAACCTCGGAAAAGCTTCTACAGCAATTTAAAAGGATTTTAAAGTTTAGCTTTAGCTATGACCCAAACAGAGTGGATTGATCCAGCTTTCTATCATCAGTTCTGAATGGCTGATCTCAGAACATCCCACTTCTGCCTCCCCCCCCCCAATGTACAGTATAGCAGAGAATTTTTCAATCCAAAAAGCTAATCTGGGCTTCAGGGCTTCGGGTAAATTATTATTACTTCTGGATCTCTTCCCAGAAACTTCAGTTGTCATCATTTACCAAGGATCTGGGAAAATCAGATAACAACTTGGGAAAAGACCTTTACCTGCCAGAGACTCTATAGAGATCCAGGATCCAGAGGTTAAAAACATGCAAAGGACCAGTCATTCCTTCTTATTACCAACAAGTCAATAGCAATAGAACTTAAGATTTATATACTGCTTCACAGTGCTTTGCAGCCCTCTCTAAGCGATTTACAGAGTCACCCTTTTGCCCCCCAACAATCTGGGTGTTCATTTTACCAACCTCGGAAGGACGGAAGGCTGAGTCCACCCTGAGCCGGTCAGAATCGAACTGCTGGCAGTCGGCAGAGTCAGCCTTCAATACTGCATTCTAACCACTGCACCATCTTGGTCAAGCCAAGGCTATCTGTGTCTATCGAACCAATATAAATTGTACACATTATGGGAAGCAATTTTAGGAAAAAGAACGTTTTGGGCTTTTGCGAACGGCAGAAACAGCTGGGGTCTGTTATTCTAAAGGTGCTCTGTCAGAGGGATGAATAAGCCTCTGGAGCTTGCTGGATTTCAAAGCTTCCAGAGATGGTGACTCAACTTCCAATGAAGCTGAGTGGAAGAAGCAACTTGTTTTGTTCAAGAACCCCCTTGTGCCTAAAGAACTCGGCTCTAGCTGGGCAAGGACAGAAACTATAACACATCTACGTGACGAAAAGGACCAGGAAGCAATGAAACGTGAAGGGACCAGCTGAGATCTGTCCATTTTTAGCCAGCTTTATCCCCAAGGGATGTGAGCGTACAGTTCCTTACCCAGGGACATATAATGCCTCCTATTCCAGCAGGAAGGCAATTAAATTTACATGCTCAATTGGTCACATTCCAGGATGTTACTAGAGCCCAGCTGTCCCTGAAATGAAGCCCATTTCATAAGATAATAAAGGCAAATGCAGAGGAAAACACCAAAACATCTGGCTCTTGTGGCCCGTAGCTATTTATTCGTTTATTTATTTTGGGATTAGCTGAAACAACCAGAAGTAATCAAAGCAGCCTCAAATTCTTCTGCAGAACACGAAGGTTGGCCAGCTATCAGGTGGGGAGTTTGGCTCTTCTGGATGTTTGTCTTAATTTGAGGGAATACAGGTAGTCCTCGACCTATGTCGACCTATTTTGCCCCGTTTTACGACCCTTTCTTGCCACAGCTGTTCAGTCAATCACTGCAGTTGTGGGCAATACGGTTGTTAAATGAATTTGGCTTCCCCCAGTGACTTTGCTTGTAAGGAGCTCACAAAAGGTGACCTGGGACACGGCGACCATCATAAATACGAATCCGTTGCCAAGCACCCACATTTTGATCACATGACCACGGGGATGCTGCAAGAGTTGTTAAGCGTGAAACACGGTCATCACTTTTTTTCCAGTGCCGTTGTAACTTTGAACGGTCACCAAACCGTTGTAAGTCGAGGACCACCTGTAAACAGCCCTTAAAAAAAATACAAGTGCAGAGCTGGAAGAGACTTGGGTCATCTCAAAAATCCATCTAGATAAGGGGGTGACAGCCAAATTTGTGAGGCTTGTCTAAAATGTGGTCTGGTCCACAAGCAGCAGCAGCATTATGGATGCTAAGATAGGACACAATTAAATCTCACCCAAAATATCTCAAGACAAATCACACTACACTGCCACTACAGGAGCATGTGTGGCCCTATTATTAGGACAGGGGTTCCCAACCGGGGGTGCAAGACGATATTCTGGGGGGGTGCAAAAACTTGGGTTTAGAAGTTTCAGAATTATATGTATATGCATAATTCATTTTGAATTTTTGCAAGGGACGCGAGAATATATCAGAAGTGTTCTAGGGGTGTGGGGTATAGAAAAGGTTGGGAACCCCTGTATTAGGATATGAGTACAGGATGATAGAAGTGGGGTATGATTTCAACACAGCAGTTTCTTAATGAACTTTCTATATTTCTACTTTAGTTTTTCAATTCAGTGTGATGCTTTGATAGTCTTGCATGCCATTTTCTTTCCTAGATCTGCTTAATTAGGTGCAATTAACCAGTGGAACAGCTTGCCTCCAGAAATCGTGGGCGCTCCATCACTGGAGGTTTTTAAGAGGAGACTGGACAGCCACCTGTCTGAAATGCTATAGGGTCTCCTGCTGGAGCAGGGGGTTCTTCTACCAAATCATCTTCAACATTGTTGAGTCCTAGAAGATATTGATTACACATCTTCCTTTCTCTCTCCTCCTTGTGTATAGTAAGCACAGTGAGTTCAATCTCTTAGTTAGGTGCAAAGAAAACAAGGCTTTAGCTCATCTAGAGCCGAGTTACCTTCTTGCAGTTGGACCTAGACAAAACCACAGCAGGTTAAGCCACGTATGTCTTTATGGAATAGGCATGCTGACCATAGATAGAGTTCTTTCACATCACTCCTCCACTAAGCCAAGGAGGTCCAGAAATGGCTAGGCTCTGAGTTCAAAAGATCCAAGTCTTTTTCCTTTCCTTCTGTGGTCTTCCTTCTGGAAGGTCCCTTCCAACTCTTTTTTGTTATTATTCTGTATTCAGTTCTACATGGGCAGCCTGATTTAGACCATGGTCTAAGATGGCTCTCACGTTCCCCCCCCAATAGATCTGCTTCCGGAAACAATATTTTAAGTTAGATTAATAAGATGAACACCAGTCGTTGTGTATGTACACAAGACAGCCTTCTCAGTGGCAGGAAACACCTGTGCTCTCCAGGATGATGGTTATCAGCCTATTTTTCAAAGGGTCTTCCTCTAGGCAGTGTTGCTTAAAGTTGCTGGGATTGAGACACAGTATTTCAGGTCATCTTTGAGGCTCTGGGAATTGCAATCTGAAGTTGAATTCAGTCACACTAAATTAGCCATTGTGCAGATTAAACTTCTGTCTGCTGCCTTGTGACTGTAATAATACAATTCTTTAATAGCACATCTTTCCTGTGTGAAGAAGCTCTCTGCCTTAAAGATTTCTGCCTGTTATGTTCTCTGCAATGGGTTGAGACTCATTTCATGTGTCTGGGACTCATTTCGTATGCAAAACAGGTCATGGATATTTTGAACTACCTTCCAAAAAGAATGCACCTTACAAAAACACAGAGAAAAAGTCACCTTCATGTCAGATTTCAAGCGCCGATGTGTTTAAGCGGTCAGATCTCTAGGCTGAAATTCAGACATTCTAGGTACTAAAGAAAAGATATTAAAGTGGACATAAATGTATGATTTATTCTCCAGTTTGCCATCGATTCTGGAAATAAAGGCACACAAAGGGAGGCAACGAGAGTTCCGGGACTCTCACAATTAAAATCATTTGCTGTAAAAAATAAATTACAAGACTTCCAAATCTGATACAGAAATGTTTAAAAACGCAATTCGTCTGATTCCATACAAAGGCAGGACAAGCTTCCGAGTACTGGATGAACGGTGGTGGATTTAGGTTACATAGAAACATGACACCAGAAACATGGGGGTGCAACTCCCAGAATCCTCCAGTAGGTTTGCTGGGGAATTCTGGGAGCAGCATGCCCAAAAGATTTGGTGGATACCAGCGATTCATGCCTTTACAATGACAGGAACAAGAGGAAAGGAAAGAACTCGAGAATACTTTAAAGAGTGCTAGAGTTATCTTATTTTGATTCTGCAGAGGTGTAACTGGACACCAACATCCACAGAGTGGGTCAAAAAGGCAGCCATGATCACCTGATTGATGCATAAAAAGGGGGATGGGGCTTTGATCAGGCAGTTGTGGCCACCAACTGTTTTGATACCTTCAGTGGACTGGTAGGTGAGGTCAAAGCATTAGACAGGTAACACTTCAGATAGCACAATTTGCACAGGTTTGTTAGTGGCTGGGATAAGGTTGTGGTGTTTGGAGAAAAGGAAGTGGAGATCATTCTCGTAACTTGGGAGAAACCCTTTCTCCTATGAGGCTTGAGTTCTGAAATAGCCACCAGGTTTAAAAACAAAAGAGGAAAGGAGAAGAAATAGAGACAAATCATTTAGATTTTTTTTTTACTGTGCCCAAATAAAGAAACGAAAGAGGAAGATTGAAAGAAGCATCAGGATGTGCCTTGCAGACTGGGGAACTCCTATCTTCTAAATAATAATAATAATAAAAGCCAATATTATTCCTTGAAAAAAAAACAAACAAACTGGATTGTTACCAAGCGTTTGGCTGGGTCATTCTTACAAGTAAAAACAGGGACATTTAGAAAATGAAAAGCATCCCGTTGGAAGGTCCCTGCTGCTTTAGATAAGTCACTCCCTGGGGTCTTGGGCATTACCCAGGGGAAGGAGAGTAACAGGTAGTTCACCTCCTACAGCCACTCATTTTGTGAGTGTCTGAAGTTACGACGGCGTTGAAAAACGAGACGTGTGACTATTTTCCGCACAGCCAGTGCATCCTGGTCACATGATCAAAATTCGGATACTATGCAACTGGCATGTACTTATGACTGTTGCAACGTCCCGGGGGGGTCATGTGATCCCCTTTGGGTGACCTTCTGACAAGCAAAGTCAACGAGGGAAGCCAGATTCACTTCCCAACCGTGTTAGTAATTTAACAACTACAGCGCTGCACTTAGCAACTGGGACAAAACTCACCTAACAATTGTCTTGGTTAGCAATGGAAAATTTTGGGCTCAGTTGCGGTCGTACGTTGAGGAACACCTGTCCTTATTCAAAGCTGCCAATCTAGCACAATCTGTTGGGAGAATTTGCCCGTGGGTTGCTCGGGAAGCTTTGCCCCCTCAGGATAAAAAGGGAGGTGGGCACCCGGGCTTCTTAAAGTCACTCAGCTACGAGGCTTCGGGCCTGCCATGATTGCCAGCATCGCTCTGTCTTAACAACAAGGGAGTAGGCAAGGTGAGTTATTGGGGGTGGTGGTGGTGAAGGGGGCTCTGGGTTCAGAGGGGTCTGAAGTACAGGTGAGCAGTGTGTGTGTGTGTGTGTGTGCAGGAGATGGGGAAGATTTCAAATCCCCCCCAAGAGGCCTGGTTACCCACAGACTCGCCGTTTGATATAAAACCGAAGCAGCCATTTTTATTGAAGTACCTAAACTGAAAATAAAAAGTTTTAGAACATAATTTAAAAAAAAAATAAAATAAAACAAAACAAAGCAAAACCAGCAGAAGTAGCAAAATATACGATTTGTCTGGGTTTTCTTTTATAGCAACTGATAACCTACCAGTCGCTAGTAACTTCCTATTATCGAGGTGATAGTCTCTCTGGTAACCACCGTTTAAAAAAAAAAAAAGACATGTAAATATATAATTAATATTTATACATTTTGTGGCAGCTATGTACAAAAGTTCTTTAGTTTCCTTTGTTTTTGTCTGAATATGTCCAAGCCCTGGGTTCCAGGGGCTGCCTTCTTTACACGTTAGGCCAGAGCTGTGTATGGTGTATAATGTAGTAGATCATTTTCAGGTTTGGCCAGTGAAGTACCAATGGACAGTGCGCTCCTAAGACACATCAGAAGCAATGGGGTTGCTTCTCTGCTCCACCTGCAGAATGTTGAATTAAGATGTCGCGTGAGACATTAATGGATCCTCAAGTAGCAGGCGCTAAAGATTTTTCAGCTTAAGAGAATCCTGATGCCCACAAGTAGCATCATGCAGAGCAGCTTTGATTTTTTGCTTTCTCAGCTCTCAAGAGGTGGCAGAACTTGGATTTATTTGTGAGAAAAAAATAAAGGACTTTCATCTTCGTGGGAATGTTCTTCACCCCCTCTTCCAGAATCTCCTTCTAAGAAGTAACAACGTCCTTCTGCCTAGGAATAGACATCTGGATCTTCCTTTTTTATTGTTGTTGTTGTTTAAACACCGCTTCCTACCCCAGATCACAAGATTTGTATGAGCAGTTCTTTGGAAGGCTTAAGGCTTGCAACAGATGGCAGTGTGTTGAAGAAGATGATGGTGAGTAGGTCTGGTTACTTGGAATGGACTTTTCGCAGTTCTTTAATGGCTACCCTCCAGTGGTCCTCCCTCCAGCCCAGCTGGATAGAGTCTGTGCACACACGCATACACACAGCCATTCATTCACTGACACACAGTCATCACCCTCGTATGCACAGAAGGGTCCCACAGAGGTTGCAGCATCAGCGCCTTTTCAGTCCACCATTGGCAAGGTGAGGTGGATGCTTGGGAAGACAAGGTTCATCAGGGAGGGGATCGTGGGAGAAAACAGAGTCCTCCCCAGAAGAGCAAGTGGAACTGCGAGTGTCTGGAAAACTGGGAGAATACTGGTCCAATGGTAGAGAGAGGTCCAGGTACTCCTAAAGAGAATGAGAGAATGGTGAGGACAACGTCTAGCGCTCTTCTCAAGGTGGAGGAAGGACCTTGGGGACAAGTTCAGATGAAAATAAGAGAAACAGGGAATGAGTCACAAAAGCTGAGTTTGCTCTGATGGAACTCCTACCTACAATTATATGCATGACTAGCTATCTTTCCATGACTTCCTAAATAAAATAGCAGTGTTCCAATCTCTCAGGGGCTGCCACAGAGAAGAGGGAGTCAAGCTATTCTGCAAAGCGCCTGAAGGCAGGACAAGAAGAAGCAACAGATGGAAACTCCTCAAGGAGAGAAGCAACCTAGAACTAAGGAGAAACTTCCTGACAGTTAGAACAATTAACCAGTGGAACCACCTGCCTCCAGAAGCGGTGAATGCTCCAACACTGGAAGTTTTTAAGAAGAGACTGGACAGCCATTTGTCCTAAATGGTATAGGGTTTCCTGCCTGCCTGAACAGGGGGTTGGACTAGATGACCTCCAAGGTCCTTTCTAACTTCTTCTTCTTCTTCTTCATCATCATTATTATTATTATATGAAGCAGATGTAATTTCTCTTGAAGGAAGTACAAAAGTGAACAATGGAAGAGGGAATGTGTAGATCAAGTTCAAACTGTAGGATCCCTGATGCTCTCTAAGCTTGATTATCTTGCAGATGTTTCATTATCAACTATCAAACTATACAATGCTACGGTATATGTTGACGAAGTCATCCAGGTAGAACTATATGGAAACTGAGTTATGGCAACTGGACTTCTTTTCTTGTCTTGGTTTGAAATATTTCGCTATCTTATCCAAACCTGACGAAGCTACTTGCGTAAGCAGCAAAATGTTTCAAACAAACAAAACAAAAAAAAAGAAGAAAGAAGTCCAGTTACCATGTCTGGATCATCAGTGCTACCATTTATTACCTAGTTTGGTAATGAAACGTCTGCAAGAAAACCACCAAGCTCAGAGAGCATCAAGAACTTTCACAGTACAAAGCTCAACCAGGCATCTTTCTGCAGCTGTGACGACACACTTATAAATTCAGGTGCCGTTATTTACAGACTAAAAATAAGAAAACAGTGGCTATTTTCGGTTTTGCTTTGCACCATACAGAGGTTGTATCACCTTCTGCTTATTTAGAAATTCACTGACACGTGTAGTTGGGCTAATAGTGCCTATAACTGTTCATGCAATGATATGTATGAACTGGAATCTCTACTTCTTCAATTAGGAACAGAGAGTCAAGTACCCCCAATAATGACCAAGCTGGAACTGAGCATCCAGATTTGAATAAGCTACTTAGTCCAGAATAGGACTAAGTGCAGACATCAAGCAACTGTTTTAGCCCCAGAACCCTTCTGACTTTATCGTCAAAAACCAGTAGATAATTTCCGGATATATGAGACAAATAAATAAACAAACAAATAAACAAACAGGGTAATTTGTACCCTTTAATGATCCTAATTTAATTTTAAAAATAGTGCAACCAGCCTAAAATCTCAGATAATTTGCTCCTAATGCTTGTGATTTTCCAGTGCCCACTTTACATCACTGCCCTACCTAATTGTTTTGTCTACCTACTCACCCGCCTCCCATAAGAAAGCAGTAAAAAAAAAACCTCCCAGCAATTTAATTAGGGTAAAATGGACATTGGACGTGTGTTACCTGGTTTGAGGTCATGGCCACGATCCTATCTAAGTCTTCGACCAGCTGCTTAAAGGTCGGCCGCTGGGATGGAACGGCGTGCCAGCAATCCCGCATCATCATGTACCTGGGAAGAGAGAAAAACTCAGCTGCCTGCATCTAAGCTGTTAAAACCAGAGTGGAATGGGCATCTCATCACGGGCAATGCGCCATGGGACAACTCCATGTGCGAGAACTATGCCATAAATGTAATCCGCCACTGTTTCTTCCTTATTTCCATTGATCGGAAGATGTGGAGAGACCTGGCCCATGAAATCTATCAAGAGTTGGATATGACTGAATGGATAACATTATTATCACACTAAATAAATAAACCACCCACCCAACTGAGCACTCACAATTCATTGGTGCAATTGCTGGGTTTGTCCATTCGATGCCCCTCTTTCAGCAGTTTGAACAGCTCCTCCACTGGCACTCCTGGGTATGGAGAGCCACCCAGGGTGAAGATCTCCCACAAGAGGACACCGAAGGACCACCTGGTTAGGACATAAGATAGATCACGCCTTACGAGTGCAGCAATTACAAGCAGGCTATTACTTGCGGTAGACAGTCTACGGACTTATGGAGCCTTGGTAGTTTCCGGTTTTTGTTTTTAAGTAAACTTGCAGTGGTGTAAAGGAACACACCAAAAGAAGGAGGCCCTCAAACTGGCAACCACATGGAAGCCAACAGCAGATTTTAGACCCACCCACCCTTTCTGCCAAGTAATACAGACTGAAAATACTGTCCTTGCTTATAGAAATTAGCATTTCATTAAGCTGAGATGGATCACATCTGCTATATTCCACCTTGGGGAATAATCCCCAGCATACTAGCCTTAATTGAAAATGCTAGAAAATTTAAGGGGCCTGTGATCTGCAACCAAATTAATTTGTGTGTGTGTGTGGGGGGGAATGTTAGGAAACACCCACGTTACACCTATCTTCCGTGAGCTGCACTGGTTGCCTATTGGTCTCCGGGTCCAATTCAAGGTGTTGGTTATTACCTTTAAAGCCCTATATGGCTCAGGGCCAGGCTATTTGCGAGACCGCCTACTACCTCATAGTTCCCTTCGTCCGGTTAGATCCCACAGGCTGTGCCTCCTTCAGGTCCCGTTGGCCAAGCAGTGCCATTTGGTGGGGCCATGGAGGAGGGCTTTGTCTGTGATGGCGCCCACGTCTTGGAACCAGCTCCCCCCGGAGATTAGGACCGCTCCCACCCTGTTGGTTTTCCGTAAGCTGCTTAAGACCTGGCTTTTCCGGCAGGCCTGGGGTTTATAAAACCTGACCCCTGGATGACTGTTATTGTACTGTTTGTTTTGTCATGTTTTATGGTGTTTTTATTGTTAGCCGCCCAGAGTCCTGCGGGAGTGGGGCGGTTTATAAATTTTAAAAATAAAATAACATAAATAAATAATAGGCAGGACTAGAATGGGAAACCGTAAGTGGACACAGTGGGAGCATGATGGATGAATCAACTGAAGCAGGAAAGTGAAGACGGGAGCTGTAGCTTTTATCCCAGCACACTATCCAAGCTTCCTGCCTAGACACAAGAGCCTCTGAGTTGGAGTAGATGGGAAGAGAACAGAAAACTCATCATTCCTGGCATTTATTTGGCATGCAGGTAATTCTATCCGCCACTTGCGGGACTGCAAGCTTGGGAATGGATAGTCAAGGAGCAAGGATGGTGGTGGTGAAGTTATAAGACACACAGACATTTGCTACTGTCAGGTGCAAGCCATCAGATGCACCCAGGTAGGGTTTAAGCCAACTACTTCATTATATTCTGCCTATTATAAAGGGATCTCCCCAGACTGCCAGCCTTCACCTGGGAACAGATAGATACGGCTCTATGGAGCTTAAGGAGGAGGTCAGTTCTGGATCCTTAAGGAAGGGGTCAATTCTGGATCTCTTGTGGCTACGCAAGGATTTAAGGCTAATTCTGCATTTGAGATCTTCCTGCTGCCTGGCTGAGAATTTCCCAATAGCTACCTAGTTCATGAGAGAGTACTAGGCGCAGAGAATCAACATAGAGGTTCAATTGAAAATCTTTTCTAGTACTGTACTTTAAGGCAAAGGTCCCCAACCTTTGTAGCTGGGTGGCCCGGCTTGGTAGTGGGGGGGGCAGAAGGGAACCAAGCCATGTGACCGATGGCCCAGCGCATGCGCGTGCAGTGTGATTGGTGTCCCGGCACATGAGTACACATGCAGCTTGATTTGTACGAGTTGAGTTGTGTGCATGTGTGTGTGTGCCGGTCCACCGCTCAAGCAAATTGAGTTGTGTGCACGGACATGTGTGAATGGGCCATGGCCCAGGGTTTGGGGACTCCTGCTTTAAGGAGCCAGAGAAATACTCACACGTCGCTCTGGTGGGTGTATATTCTATCAAACAAGGCTTCTGGGGCCATCCATTTGACTGGCAGACGACCCTAGAAAGCAGCAAAGAGTCCACTTTAATCCAGAATTACGAGGAAGAGAGAAGTGCAAGGGGAAAAGATCACTAATGCAGAAGATAACGACATAGAAAGGACTGTGATGGGCCACCAGTGATCATCCAGGCTTAAATTCAGCACATAGCCCAACATTGATCCTTCAGTCTAACTTGCCCCACTGATCTGTATCAGAAAACAGACCGCAGTTAGACTAGTAAGCAAACTCTGCTCATAGGCATCAATATATCCAAAGATATCTCCTCTAGTTGAAAACAGTCTTCATGTCCCTGTTTTCTGCAAATTTCCATATCCTTTCTATTTCCTACTGAGCTTTTCTGCCATGCTTGAACACGGCATAATCTGGGCCACTCACGTTTGTCGTCTTCTTGTAATAATCTATGTGGTGAATGTCTCGAGCCAGGCCAAAATCAGCAATCTTCATCACAATGTCTTCCGTTACCAGCACATTCCTGGCAGCCAAATCTCGGTGAATACACTAAACAGGAAAACATAACAGACTTCTTATAGTGGAGCAGCTCTGGAAGGCAAAGACAAAGCTTTGGGGCTGAAGATCAGCAAAAACTAAGTGTATCTTTTTTGTTTGTTTCTCTCCCGCCTTTATTTTTACAAGCAACTCAACATTTCATTAAAAGGCTAAAGATTGTGTCAAGACAAAAAAAAAAAAGATACAAACCAAGCAAATTCTGGAACCAGGTCGTAAGTAGCTCCAGGGAGGTCTGCTGTAACTTTGAATGATCGCTAAGCGATCATCTGTTAAGTGAATGCTATCTGTACATTGTCCCATAACATATGTATTACGGCAACTCACAAATCAGCAGTCATCTCATCAACCATTCTATTATTTTCTTCCTGATCCTTTTAACTCCCAAGTGGGGTCTTGTTAGTCTAGGGCAGGGGTAGACAACCTTGGCTCTTTTATGACTCGTGGACTTCAACTCCCAGAGTTCCTGAGCCAGGCACACTGAAGAGAAAGGGAGAGGTTTCCATGCTGAGCCATGCTGGCTCAGGAATTCTGGGAGTTGAAGTCCACGAGTCATAAAAGAGCCAAGGTTGCCTCCCCCTGGTCTAGGGCCACTGGTCTCTCCAACATTTAGTTTTTAAGGCTCCTCAAAATGTCTCTCCAATTGCACTGCCATTTTGAGGCAGGAAGCACCCCAAAATAGTTTTCCACTGTTTTTAATGGATAATAGAGTACACAGTAACAGTACTGATTTTATTTTTGATTTGATTTGTCTTGAGTCAGGTTTTACCACTGCAAGTTACCATGAGTGCTACTGTAAGTATAAAAGTGGTTGATGATAATAAGTGGCACCATCATTAAGGGAAATCCAACGTGACGGGTCCTTGGTGCCCTCTGAGCTTGGTTGTTTTCTTGCAGACGTTCCATTACCCAAACTAGGTCACATCATCAGGGCTAGGACTGAGAAGAAGGACCAGCACTGATGATGTGACCTAGTTTGGGTAATGAAACGTCTGCAAGAAAACATCCAAGTTCAAAGAGCATCAAGGACCCCTCAACTACAAATATTCTCCTTTATTAAAATTTCTCCCAGACATCTTCATCTCTTCTGATTTGGGTCCTAATTTATTTTACTGGGCCTCTCATTCTAGTAAGCTGCCGATCAGCTGCCCAAAGTCTGTCGTTCCTTCCTTTTGCAATCGCTCACCTTTTTGGATGCGAGGTATTCCATGCCCCTGGCCACTTGGTATGCACAGGATACCAGATCTTTGAAAGAGAGCTGCTCTTCTGGGACATGGGTGGGGTTATAGCAATATTCCATGCCAGGAGGCCGACGGGCTTGTAGGTATTCCCTTAGGTTCCCCTTGGATGCATACTCTACGATCACATAGAGCGGGCCTGACACAGAGAAAGACAAGAAGCTTTTAGAAGAGACAGTGATACTGTTGCCCTCCCAGTTCAGTTCATGTGATATTTCTGATACCTCGCTGGCCATCTGGAGTGATGGCCAGTTGAGGATTCCAAGGAAGAATGAGCAGGAGAGCTTCTATCAATGAGCGACTGCCTTCCACCTTAAAAGCACCTACCATCTTGAGTACAGGCTCCAAGGAGATTGATGATGTTCTTGTGTTTTCCAATCATCTTCATCATCTCCATCTCTGAGATCAAATCAGATAGGTCTTTTTCAGTGGCATCAGCTGGGGAGGAAAAAAGATACCGAGTCCTGATTGGATCAAAGATGCACTGAAGGGAGATTAAGATACTGGACGTGTCCGGTCGAAATAAGTCTCCTGCTAATAGCACTAGCGCTTAGACTTATATACCACTTCATGGTGCCTTACAGCCTTCTCTAAGTGGTTTACAGAGCCAGCATGGCTCCTCATTTTATCCACCTCGGAAGGATAGAAGGCTGAGTCAACCTTCAGCCAGTCAAGATTGAACTGCTGGCAGTCAGCAGAATTAGCCTGCAATAGTGCATTCTAACCACTGCGCCACCATTGCTCTTCATATATGAAAGCTGCATTCAGTGAACTTCAAATCATCCTGTGTGTCTGTGTATTCTCGACACAGCCATACACACACATCTGCACACACATATTAAAGGAGATTTGAAGTACACCTGAAGCTGCAGTCATTGGTTGATGTGAAAGAATGGATACGCCCGTGTACGGGTTAAAATAAGTTCAAACATTTAAAAAAGACTCAAAAGCCCCCAAACAGAATAAGATGATGGCTCTCATCAAGAGCTTCTTGCAATAAGCAAGACAAGGAGGGTTATTTGGAAATATAACCGTAACCTTACTTACATTTTAGCATTTTGACTGCCACTTTAGTAACTCGGTTTGGCTTGTCTTTATCCAAGCCTATTGCTTCAGCTAGTACAACTTGCCCAAAGCATCCTTCCCCCAGAGGTTTCCCTAGAATCAGCCTAGAATAAAAGCAAAGAAACATGGTTATTTGAGCAGGATGCTGCTAATCTCTGCAGTGAATTAACTGGCATTCAGCCAAACGGCTTGAAGTGTGGGTCTAAATTGCTTTTTTTGCTTTCTGTTTAGGGATACTGTCTGTATGATCTAGCAAATATCTCACTGTTCCTCTCAGAGACTTTGTAGAACATTCTAGCATCAAAATCCAGGCCTAGTTGTTTAAGGTGAAAGGAATTCTACAAGGGTTATTAATAGTTATTTCCTTCTGCAATACAGGTAGTCCTCGACATACGACCACAATTGAGTGGTCCAACATTTTCATTGCTAAGCGAGACAATTGGTAAGTGATTTTGGTCCATTTTAAGACCTTTCTCACCACAGTCCTTAAGTGAATCACTGCAGTTGTTTAGTTCGGAACATGGTTGTCGTTGCAGCGTCTCCAGGGTCACGTGATCAAAATTCAGACGCTTGGCAACTGACTGGTACTTATGACAGTTGCCGTGTCCCGGGGTCATGTGATCCCCTTTTGCGACCTGCTGACGAGCAAAGTCAATGGGGGAAGCCAGACTCACTTCACAACCGTGTGACTAACTTAACAACTGCAGTGATTCACTTAACAACTGTGGCCAGAAAGGTCGTAAAATGGGGCAAAACTCACTGAACAAATGTCTCACTTAGTTACAGAAATTTTGGGCTCAGTTCTGGCCGTAAGTGAAGGACTACCTGTACACTTAAAGAATCTCCCTCGCTTCGTGCTAAAAAAATTCCTCCAATTGATGGTTCAGAAATGTTATCCTCAAAGTTGGCTATGCATTTTTTTTTAAAAAAAAGGATCCTTGTTATGGAAAATAACATAATGTTTCTGGAATTTTCAATTTATTACTGCATTTAGAAAGGAGGTGGGTACTCAACTCAATGCGCACCAAGCTTCCCCCAGTGACACAGCTGTTTAAAAACATTAGACATGCCTCTTCGGCTGAGCCCATCCCAAATGGAGAGGAGAATTTGGTACCTGTCCCTGGTCAACTCCCAACGAGGGTCTTCTGGCAGTTCATATTCAGAGACCCCCGTCAGCATTGGAGTCCCGCTGGAGGAGAGCCTTGAGGGACGCACAAGCATCACACCGGAGTTCATGGAGGAACTGGAGTCAGCTGAGACCTGCACCAGAAGAAGGGAGAGAGTGGGGGTTACCTTTGTCAAAGTCTTCTTGAGAACATGCAGTTGGGAGTTTGGTAGGGGAAGAACTGCCTACCCTCAAACCAATCCTATCGCCGTTTGCTGGAAATGGGTGCCGTTCCCTCACTGTTTCCAGGATGGCTTCACGGACCACATGAAACCACTTTGCGGGCCGCATCTGGGCCCTGGGCCTTGTATTTGACGTGTCTGCTTTAAACCATCATGCATACTAACTCCTACTTTAGTGCAGGAAGATCAAGCTAGCTCTGAATCAGAAGAGTCAGAGAACGTCTGGACCAGCCCCTGCAAACTAGCCCCCCCCCAGCCTCAACGAGCAGAACCGCAGAGATAAAAACTGCAAGGATACAAGATCAAAACAGCCATCTCACCCTTCCTATTCTTTGCAAGCCTCCACAGCAAATTAGGGTTGCGTGTGTGGGGCCACCTTGATTGAATTATGGCTGGAAGAAGAGACTAGCAAGAGACAAGAACCTCCTTAACATGGCTCTCCTCTGCATGCATATCTAAACTCATTCATAATGTCAGACTCTGCTTCTTCCAAGCACAATTACCACGGAGTCTCTTTGGAGAGAATTTTCGAAAGAGGTTATAAAAATTCCAGCAACTGAACTATTTCCCATGGACAACCAACATGTCCCCAAGGTACAATAGGGCAGGAACCTTTTTCTAGTTGTTTTTCTAACTGCTTCTCGTGAAGCTTGCAGCTGGCTGTTTACGTAAGAATCTTTAGAATTTTATCAGTCTGGGAACCAACTCTTATATCAACTTCACAATCACGAAGGCCCCAGTTTATAAGAGCTCCATCGGAAGCCAAGGGGTTTCAGGGCAAGAGTCTTGAATGCATTAATATAAAACTGCCACTAAATGAGGAAAGAAATACAAAGCAAGGGGTCTGCTACTCTGTGGAAAGGGTGGCTCGCAGCAGCCCCAGGCTTTTACATTCCAGAGGGGGTTAAGTAGCTTTTGCGTCCTCACGTTGGCATAAAGCCACCAATTAATTTAAGTGGCTTGGTGTAGTGCACAATAAAGATCCTTAATTAGCCAAGCCATGCGGAGGATCTGAATAGCTTTTGCTCAACTCAAGAAAGGGATCCTGATGCAGAATTCCTGATGCAGGCTGGGAAGCTGGCAAGCCATCAAAATCACCTATTGTTGCAGCTGAAGACGAGATATTTGCACACAGGCAAAGCTTGCAAGGTGATAATTGTTCCACGGGGGGGGGGGGGGGGGAAGACTGCCTTTTTAAAAAGAATTTTGGCTTAACGGATGCCGTTATTGTCTTCAAAGAGTTTATTTTAGGGTTGACTGCTTTATCGAACGGGTTGTATTTGTGTTGATTCCTGGCATGCTATGCTAAGCCCCTCAGGTATCAAAAAGTAAAATGAAATACCCTGCAAACTCCAGGAATAATACACCTGGATGTTTAAAAGGGAGAGCCTTGTGTAGTAGCTCTCGTAACAGGACACCCATCTTGATGGCTTCCAAGCTGGGCAGGGCCCTACTTTTGCGTTATATGGACAGTCGTGATCGCTGGCGGTTTTGTACCTGAGATGTTTTAACTTCCTTCTCAGGTGAGGCTCAAACTCTCATTAATGAGACTTCAGCATTTCTGCAATATTTCAGGTGGTTTTAAAACAAAACTGTCTAAATTGGGGGGAGAAGGGAGAATTTGGGGAGCTGGTAGCTGCTCTCATATCCATATAGATGCTACATCTTTTAATCTCTGCCCAGATCTTTGAGTTTCTTCTTTTCAAAGAATAAAAACACATGCTAAACAAGGCTGGGAACAACTCTGTAGAATTACACGTAGTCCTTAACTTACAACCATCCATTTAATGACCATTCAAAGATACAACAGCCCTGAAAAAAAATGACCTATGACTGGTTTTCACACTTATGACCACTGCAGCATCCCCATGGCCACATGATCATGTTTTCAGAGAGTTATCCAGCTGATGGATGGACAAAGTCCCAAGGCCCTGGAACCTAAGTTTCTTTCAGCTTTTTGCTGGGTTGGTAGGACTAAAAAGATAAGGAAAGCCTACAGACCAAGCTTTCTAATATTTTTTACAACCCAGAGCAAGCTACTATGGGTCATGTATCCTACAAGGAAGGGAGATTAAGAAAGGAGCAGGCAGCAATATTCTGAGCTACTGCCCCACTGCCTCTCCCATACTAATGGATGGGGGCATTTTTATCCACAGCCCCTTGCCAGATGGAGCTCATTTTCTACTCCATGTGTTATGTTTCCGGCTAATGAAACACTTCAAAGAACTTCCAGGCATTGCTCTTCCTAAGTCTTTTATTGTTACAAAATGTCGGCACAGGCATAACGGAGGTATGCCAAGATCTAAATTCTCTTCCCCTGAGCAATTAAATTATCAGCATGTTCCCTCCCCAAATTAGCTGTCATATATCACGTTATCCAATTAGTAGGAAGGTCAAAGGTTTCCTTCCTCTCTCTTTCCCTTTAACCTCTTCTGCTCTGCATGAACTCTAAAAATACCAGACAGTTCTGCATATTGTCAAAGCAAGAATATACAGTATTTGCAGCATTGACGCCATGTTTGCTTCTTCCTCCACACCACGTTTTTTCCTGTTCTGTTCAGATTTTGGAGAGTTATCCTGCTAGTGCAGGGGTCCCCAACCTCTGGTCCATGGACCAGTACTGGGCCACAGCATGCCAGCAACTGGTCTGCACAAACAAGCAAAGCCCCATCCACAAGATGCAGGCAGCACAAAAAAGCCATGCACCCTCCGGTCCGTAGAAAAACCTCTCTCCACGGAACCAGTCCCTGATGCCCAAAAGGTTGGGGACCTCTGTGCTAATGGACAAAGTATTGAAACCCCACCTAACATCTTCTTGACATTCTGTTGAGTTGGAAAGAACAATAGGTGCCTCTGGCTGAGGTGCAGCCTGCTTTGCTACGGTCTCAGAGGGGGATTATAGGTTGCAATCAAACCCCCTATCTACTTTCTGTTACCTGTCTGCGCAAGGGGATGCTCTTGGCCAGTTTATGGACGGCCAACTGGCTGTTGAAATCGGTCTTCTTGGTGGTACTCTTCATCTTGTAAATGAGGACCGTCACGATCATGCAGGAGATGAGGAAGCCCCCCGTGCAGTAAATGATTATCTCCAAGTACAAAGGGGAAGCCATCATAGCTGGTTTGTCTTCTATAGCTGAATCAGCATAAAGAAAGCATTAGCACAAAAGATCCTCAATCAAGAACCATGTTGGTCCTGGCATGACATGTTTGTGAGTCTTGCCCAACCACGGCTATGGTTTGGTATAATATTTCAATCAGGGCACTAGTGCTTGGTCAAGAAACTATAATTTAAAAAAAAACTGGCTTAGTACAGAGTCTGTACCACTGAACATGAAGCTGGGATGTTTCTGTAGGCCTCTGCATGACCTTGAAATAAAAGAGGGAGAGGTGATACCAAAGACTTTGCACCTCTCAACCCAACCAGCATCACCAATTCAGTTTCCAGAATGGACTCTTATAGGATATGCTGAAATTGCTTCCTTTAGACCAGTTGCTTCACATGTGGCTATTGAGTCTAAAGCAGTGGTTCTCAATCTGTGGGTCGGGACCCCATTTGGGGTCGAACGACCATTTCACGGGGGTCGCCAAAGCAAGGCTGTCCACCATTTTTTCCCTTTTCCCTAGCTGTCCTACTCCCTCTTATTGATGGCCACACCCACTTGGGGGTCACTACAACATGGGGAACTGTATTATGGGGTCACGGCATTAGAAAGGTTGAGAACCACTGGTCTAAAGAAAGTCCATTGATTTTGTTTGATGTTACTGCAGTGGCTGTTTCAAAGGAGGCTTCCTTTGACCTTGGGCAGTGCAACAGGATGCTATCTTTCATGCTCTTCCCTCCCAACTGTCCATTAATAATAAATGCCTGAAAAAAAAAAAGGTTTCCAGCTCATTCATTTTCTCCTGGTTGGTAAAAGTTTGCTGACTTGAAGACCACATCGTGCTGTCAAATCAGGCTTTCCAGTATGATACAAGACCAGGCTTGCACAACGGATGTGTCAAGGAGATCAAATGGTGCCACTATTTTCTGTCGCACCAAACTCGAAAAGGTTTCGCTCTGAAATATTCTCAGCAGCAAAACAGTTTCTGAGATGGCAGTGCTACCTTACCTGGCTTTTTTTCTAGCTAGTGCCACTGCAGCAACAGCTTAAAACGTGAATATACATTATATGGCTAGAGTACCAGCAAGGAAAAAACTGCCGGTATTATAACAATATTCTGAATGTATTATACTTTAAAAGGGGGAGGAAGCAAGAAATCAAAGTTTCCCCCCTCCCCACTCCATCTTTCCTTTCCCAGAATAATAGTAATAAACAGAGAATGGCAGTGGGGATGGGAAGAGGTGAGAGGAGATCTGATCAAAGAGAATTAACAGCCCTGTTATCATCTTTCTCATTAAAGATGGCAGGGCTCTGAATGGGTGGAGATGGGACAAGGAGAGGAATAGTAAGCCCTCCCAGCAGAACAGACTTGGAAGGGGGCATGAATACAATCTACAGCAATAGTTCATGCCTTTCTCCCTAGTCAGTTGTCAGGTTCTTGCAGGCCACCTACTGATGGCTGGAAAAAGAAGCTATCATCAGGTCAGCAGGCCTGTCCACCAAGAGAAACTCATGCAGAACCTTCTAAGCCCACAGAGAATGCAAGACTCCAATCTACCAAGGCAAGATTCCATTCTCATTCAAGGCCATGTAGGAATACGTCTTATTTTGGGTCTTGGGGGTACTCATTCTGGGTAATCCGCTCTTGGGGGAGGGAACTAGGAACCACAGTGATCCTGTCTTCTCCTACGTGTCTTGCATGGAGGTAAACCGGGCAAGGGAAAAAAATGGATCTCCAGTTCCTCCAAGCTGAATGGGACAATTCGCCACAGCCAGCTCCCTCCCCCTGAGGCCATCTTGCAATGGACAATTCTATATGGGATGACTCAATGCGATAAATGCCATCCACCAATTGTCCGTGGCAGGTTGTCCGTGGCAAAATGGCTGTGGGAAGACAGCCGCAGCAATTTGTGATGGACACCCTCCAAGTTTCATACATATCTTGTTTGTATCCTTTGGACAGAGTTTGTTCACGTGCATGTATGTGTAAGGATTCTGACAGTATGTATGCAATGATGAATAAGTATTACGGGATTGTGTTGACTTCTAAGTTGATGCCTTTGTATATGTGGACCACATCTGGAGAAAAGGGCAGCCACTGCCTTCTTTAGTTTACAACCGGCATTTTATTGTGATGAAAGTGGGCAGAGCTCGATACTCCAAGAATGAGAAAGACCGTGTGCTATGTGCTTGTGCACATAGGGGAACATAGACAGGCACTGCAGCCCTGATAAAGAGCATATTACAATGACTTCTTTGTAGGGACTGTGGCTCATTTGCTTTCTTTTTAAATAGTTTGGGCGTAGGCGAGTTTTCAAAGATGCATTTGAGCATTTACAGACGTGCCTCCAATTTGGGAAAAGTTGGGAAATCAAAGGATGTCAAGTGTTGCCCGACTTCTGTCCTGGGTTTCATTGGGCTGGCCTCCTACCATTTCAGAGTCCATGTCATACATTCTCCTGGAGTTGAACCTTTTGGGCCCTGTGTGCCAACTCTGTCTTTTCTCTGCCAAAGACAAAGCGAAGCACAGAAAGGGCGACAGCCTTGCTTGAAAGAATGAAACTGGCCTGTGACAAACCTGGATCTAGCCTCTAGTTGAACTCAAATTAGAAATGAACAGGACCTTGGTGGTCTGCAAGAGCCAGGATGGGGCTGTGATCGTCCCAATTTGGCAGATGAGAAAATAGGACCAAATGAGAGGTGATGGCTTACCTGAGGATGATAGGGACTTTCTCTCCTAAACAGGGGCTGCCAGATACATTTTGGTTAACCAACATACAATCCCATCCCTAAGAGGAAGTCAATTGGTGGGGGCCCTCTACCACTCCTCCTCCTTCCCTACCTCCAAGGAGCCCGGCTCTTGCAAACCATGGCCAGCTACTTCCCAAAGCTAGTCAAAGAGACAGCGAGGAGACAGAGAAAGGAACAGAACCGGTATATACCTTCTAGAACCGTCAACCATGCAGAGTGATGCGAGATCCCAATAGAATTACCCGCCAAACAAGTATATTGCCCTGCATCCTCAAAGGAGACATTCCTTAAGTGAAGGACTTCCATTTCTTTGTCAGTTGTGTTAACACCAGCTGTCTAGAGAGGGGAAAAAAATGGAAGCAAAACAAAACAGGGAAAAAAAGGGGGAAATAGGACGAGCAAATGTAAGACAAGCTGAAGGAAGAGGAAGGAGATAACATGCCTCTCAAGACTCCTGAAGGACACAGAGACACCACTGTAGCCTAATGACAGACAGCCTTAGGGCAACCACCAATCCAGGCTGGCTTAAAGCGGGCAGTGTTAAAAACAAACAATAAAAACAACCCTTCACCATATTGAATTTCCTTGCCCATCGACATGCTGGGGGATGGGCCACATGGAAAAATGGACCTTGGGAAGGCAAAGACCAGCTTAGTTTCACGGCGTGGGACAAGCCCAGGGGTGGATGGAAATGGAAGAGGCAGACAAGAGAGAAAGGTTGAGGGACAGAGCTGACAGACTCTTGAAAGACAAGAGGGAGCAGGTTGTTTCCAATAGGAAGACACCCAAGAGAAGCCGCCATTTTGTTTTGTCTGGAAAAAGTCAAGACAGCTGCAGAATTCAAAATCAGACTTACTAAAAAGGAAGGCTTACATCACTGACAGCCAGGTTGAAAGCAAGGGGGCAAACAGTGTAACATCTACACACAGGTGCATTTCTTTTAAAGGAGGTTTTGATTTTGCTGTCTCAAAAGGAGATCTAGGCTGAGACTGCATGAAATATTTAATCATTTGAGAAGAAATGAGATCGTTATCAGCATTCTTCTGACCAGCTTATAACAGAGCCCCGATGGAGAAAAAAAATAATGACCCCACAATTTGGTGTTCAAGCAGAAAATTTTTAGGAATAGTTTCTGACTTCTAGTTTAATTCGTAAAGGATTAGGAAAAGGATGAACGAAACAACACAATGTTAAGAAGAGGAAGAGAAGAAGAGCGTGAAACATAGCTGATCGGCTGTTCCGAGGATTTTTCCATGGTTTATGGCACCAGAAACAGAGGAGAAACAGGAGAGCCACAAAAGTTTGGTTTTTCCACCTCTAAGAATTGCCCAAAGTGGCATTCTTCCCGTTTACCTTCAGCCATGGGTCTGGTGACGGTCAGCCACGCAGACTGGTTAGCCTCACCAATATAATTGGAAACCTTACAAACATACTCCCCGCTTTCAGCCTCTGTCACATTATAGAGGGTCAGCACTTCCGCATCAGAGCTATTAATTCCCGAGTGCTAGAACAAGACCAACAACACAGGAGTCACTGGGAAGCCAAGGGATGGGCTTTGCAACTCTGAGATAACACCCAACAACCATACCTCCCCTTGCCTCAACCCAAAACAAGGGGTGGGACACGCCCAGTTTCCTGGCCTCTCTCATTTTGAGGAAGCTCTAGGGCAGGGGTGTCCAATTTTGGCACTTTTAAGATGCATGGACTTCAACTCCCACAATTTCTCCCGCCAATTGGGGAATTCTGGGAGCTGAGGTTCACGCATCTTAAAATGGCCAACGTTGGGAAAGGGACACAAACTATATCATACCCCTGTCTTGCTTCAGATATACCTTGTAGCAGACATCAGTAATAACAAGAGGCTCGTGGAAAGCAATATTATTCCTAGACATATCCTTGGTGTGTCTAGGAATAACGCTTTAAAAGGGACTCTGTCCGTTTTAAAATTTTCTCAATGTTTACTTTTCAAAAGATTTCAATAGGAAGGTGACATCTTGCATTCCACAGCACTGGGCCCAGATCCTCTTCATTTACCGAACGTCTTTGAGCCCCTCCAGAGATGTTAAGAACATTTCAGGGAACCAGTATCCCTTTTGGTAAATAAATGGTGTTTGCCTGTGATACTCAGTGGCATAGCCATTTTATTTATTTAGTTATTGAATTTAATATGCCGCTTCGTCAAGGGTGAAGCCCTCAGTGGCAGCCATTTTGTGAACGCATCCACCATATGCTTCCAAAAGTCCACCCACGACCTTAGCTTACAGGTTGCCTCCCTAACATATGCTAAAGGAGCAAGTGTGTTAATTTTACAGCTATGTGGCCCAGTTCAGCTCCACAGACGCAGTCTTACCAGAAGACACTGGGAAACTTCATGACTTTTTTCTTGGCATACGAGGATATTTAAAGCAATCTTTAACGAGCCTCAAATAAAAGAAGCCCCTGGCCATTTCAGAGTCTTCAGCAATGTCTACTCAAAGACTGCATTTGATTCTATTTATGGTAATAGATATGAACCATGGCATCTGAGCTTCATTCAAGCAGATCTCCTTCAGAATCTGCTTCCCTTTTGTAGACTTATCTAGAACTGCCAAGTTCCAAACTTAGTCGAGTTGGCATCGTCTGTTTGATTGACCGGACCCATATTATTTCTTCAATCCAAGCTACATGGCCACGTTCCTGACATGCATCATAAGCTTCCCCTCCTAAACTTTAAGAAATAAGCCCCACATTAACTAAAATGTCACATCACCCAAGTTGAAAGACCTTACCTTCAAGACCTGAACAAAAGGCAAATTATTTGGTCCAATCTTGCTTCCATTGACTTCAATGTGCTTCAGCCATTGGATGTGGGGCTGAGGGTCACTATAGACCTTGCAGACAAATTCCACATTGCTACCTAGTGAGACCGTCTTGTTAGCTGGGAGCCCAGCTTGTAAGATAGGCCGGTGAGGAGATCGCTCTAGAAAAGAAACAGGAGAATAGAGTTTTCAGCAGGCTGATAAATGGAACAGAGGAAGAAGTGAAGAGAGAGTCCATATCGCTCTGCCAATTTTTTTTGAAGCGGCCTGTCAGTCAGGAGAGTTCACTCCAGAAAGAAAGAAAAAAGAAATATTACAAACAAAGCTAGAAGCTTAGCAAACAAAAAAAGTAGATTACAATAAATGTTACGACTTGAAAGAAACTTAAGCGAGCAATCACTTGTACCTAGACCAAACAAAATATAAAATCTGTTATCAGTTAAATGTCTGAAGGATATAATTCCATTCAGGATACAAAATCTCCATGTCTGGTTAATTGGTGAATTTGATTTTTCGCGATCGTGGCCTGTTAAAGACATGCATTTAGGGATATACTTTTTAAAATAGATATTCTCCTTTGCAAGCAATTTCTCAGTGTTTTGAAAGGACTCTTCCCCCACATACTAATTTTTGTGTGGATTTTGCTTTATTTTACACTTTCCAAAAGCGGTGCATTACAAAATTCTGAAAAAAGGCAATAAATAACAGTAGAGGGCTCCTAGGTGTCAATCTGGCAAGTTAGTTACTTATTGATCTTTTCCTGAATTCCATAAAAAGGAAGCCTTCTTAAGATGGTCCATTGCCTGCTCACTACTGCTAAAAGAAAAAGGAAAATGGTACAAACTACACAGTCAAGTTCTCCATCTCTCTGCATTTCGAATACTCCTTTCTCTGTGCTGTACTGGGATGCTAGAAAACCAGTTTGAAGAAGGGGATTTCTGCCACCCAACTAATGACTGAAGAAAACTAGAGATTTGGAGATCTTTTGAGATACCAAAGGTGGCTCTGGATATCAACCCGACTGAGGCAATCGGAACTCGTTTATTAACAACACCCACACCAGTATCCCCCGTTCCCAAGGGGAAAAAAAACCAATCCTCACCTCTTTGACATCCTCCTCACATCAACAATGATTCTCTTCTAACGTGACTCTCAGAGAATTCTTTTTTAGCAAGATTTGTTGAGATGCCATGGATGGAGTTACAAAATCCCAACCAGAAAACTCCATGTCATACCAATGTGCACCAAATTTCATTAGTCTGGGAGCCTCTCTCTCTCTCTCTCTCTCTCTCTCTCTCTCTCTCTCTCTCTCTCTCTCTCTCTCTCTCTCCCCTTCTGTTTTCTTTCTTTCTTTCTCTCTCTCCCTCCCTCCTTCTGTTTTCTTTCTTTCTTTCTTTCTTTCTTTCTTTCTTTCTTTCTTTCTCTCTCTCTCTCTCCCTCCTTCTGTTCTTTCTTTCTTTCTTTCTTTCTTTCTTTCTTTCTTTCTTTCTTTCTTTCTTTCTTTCTTTCTTTCTTTCTTTCTTTCGCTTTCTGAGAACTTGAGAGCTGGGATTCTTTCCATTGATAAAGGACCTTGCAGGTGGTCCTTTACATGACCTTCTCATGAATCTTTATGAGAGAACCATGCTGTAGCCTTTTATGATGTTAAAGGTAAAGATCCCCTTCAATAGCCTTGCTTTTTTGGCGATTGTATGGAAGCATCAATATTTTCTTGGCAATACAGAGCAGCGGTTGCACTTGCCCTTTCCCATTTTTTTAAAAAAAATCTTTTCAGTCTATTTTACAGCCCATATATTCTTTCCTTGCCTCCCATTCAAATGCTAATTAGGATGAATCCTACCATTTTAGCTCAGAAAAGGTCAGCTAGGTAGGGCTACCTGCTGAGATTTTACAATACCTAGGCCTTAAATAAGCTTTATACTCCCCTTTGTGCACGTTGGACTGCAGGGCAAATTTTGATTATGCAACGAGGGAGATTCCCGAAGCTGCAAATTTTGATGGCAGAGAAGGTCGGATGTGGGTCACTTCTATGCTTTAGGAGAAGCGCGTTTTTGAATAGCCTGGCCAGAAAAAGCTCTAAAGCAGTTGATTGAACCCAGCAGCTAGTCAGATGCGGATCAGGAGTGGAGTGGGCAACTTCTTAGAAACAAAAGAGAATTACTGACAGCTGGCACAGAAACTAAAGTTGTCTGCCTTCTTCACATCTTCGCTTCTGATGTAACAAAGCAGGGATTAAGAAAAAAAATGTTTTCCCCTTAATTACAAGAAGCCGGAGCCAAAATTATTATTATTATTTTTCATTATAGCCTGTCACTTATTAAAAATATGAAGGGAATATGACCTTGTTGCTGCTTGTTAATAGTTCTCAGCGAATGTCCCCACCTCTGTATTCTACAGTCAAACTCCATTTCAAGAAGGAAGTATCACAGGACCCGTCCTTTCTCTGCCAAAAGCTGTGATTACCTTGGATTAAAAGGCAAACTTTTGCAAAACTTCACATGACTGTTCTCATCCATAAGGAATAAATGGGCCTTGTTTTCAAATCTCTACGCCCATCTGGGTTGCTATCAGCTTCATTAGGGAGACCAAGCTGGGGTCTCTTAGCAAGAACGAATTAATCCTAACATCTCAGAGTTCATTGCCTATGGAAAATGCCACATAATATGAAGCAATTTAACAAAAATAACAACAACAACAACAACAAACCCTATTGGGAAAAATGAACAGGTTAGATCAGAACTTCCAACAAATATTTAGTTTCTATTTGTGGATTTATAGTAATAAAAAACATGACTAGGTAAATCATCAGGTGTCTGGTCCAAGTAATAGTAATAGAAATAAAGTTGGAAGAGACCTTGGAGGTCATCAAGTCCAACCCCCTGCTCAGGCAGGAAACCCTACACCATTTCGGACAAATGTGGTGAAGTGAAGATTGTTTTTCATTTTCTTCTCTGAAGCTACCTGTTCTATATTCACTTCTCACTCCCTTTCCCCCCCCCCACTATGGATTTCAGTGAACACAATGGAACCTGAGTGGAACTGGAGTTGGGCTTCAAGGGGGCAGGGACGGTAGCAAAGATGGCTACCTCTTTATTGGAAGTCAAAGGTCAAAGAAATCTAACAAGGCCCTAGCTGATTAACAAAGAACCAGACACCATAGTGAGTGAGCATTAAGCAGCTCCTTTGTTCCCCCTTGCAAACTATTTCCTTTGGTTTGCTCAGTGTAATCAAATTAAACTGCATTCTTAATGCTTCATTTAGTGGCATTTAGAGCAACTCCACAAAGGACTGAGATCACCAAGCCTAGGTTGGGAATCAAGGCTAATAAAGAAATTAATTGGGGAGGCTGATGAGAAAAAGTTCTTGTATAGCCTGTGAAATTACCATAAATGTGACAGGCAAGAAGAGACAAAGCCTTGTGTTTGAGGGGTGGAAACGTTCTTCTGAGTCCACCCAGTGGAGAAGCTAGTATGGATGAAAATTGGGAAAGTGAATTCTTTGGAACGGGCTGTCTTTGGACACAGAGGCAATCACAAGCAAAAGGCAGCATTCGTTTTGTCTGTCTCCTCCAAAAACACTTGGATGTTTATGGAGAAATTCTGCCTGTACCTTCTAAGGCAGGGATTTCCAACCTTGGCCACTTTAAGACTCGTGGACTTCAACTCCCAGAATTCCCCAGCCAGCATGGCTGGCTGGGGAATTCTGGGAATTGAAGTCCACGAGTCTTAAAAGTAGCCAAGGTTGGACACGCCTGATCTAAGGAGTTTCTGAAGACGAAAGAAAACAAGCAATACACTGTAGAAGAACAGGAAGAGCTGGTGGGTGGAGTTCAGTGTGTCTACAGCTTAGAACTGTTACGTTCCCACAAATGGTCTGAGAGATTAATGCCAGGCGCAAAGCATCAGGACCATACATCAAGTTGTAGTACAGAAGATTTACTGCTCAAGGCTATACACATTCTAGTCAACTAAGATTCAGTGCTACATTGGCACCAGACAAGGGTAAATGGAATTCAAGGGCTTGGACTGTTTGTGAGAACGTAATGACTCTAAGCTAATGATGTGCTTAACTCCAGCCTCCAGTTCTGCCCGCTCTTCTCCTAGCTAAACCACTCTGTTACAAGGAGTTAAGAATTAACTTGAATTATATCCCAGTGGTGAATAAAAACCTTCAAAAGGAGACGATGCAGAGAGAGCTATTTGAAAAGAACTTTCCAGGCCTCATCCTGCTTTTCAATTCTTTTTCATTCAAAGCAGGAAATAGGCTGGCTGCACCACCAAGGCAAAGATCTCGTTGTCCGGGGAGCTCTGAAGCTTCCCATGTTTTTTACATCAGTAGTCTCCTCTTCAGATACAAATACAAACACGCACAGATTCCTACACCAGAACATTATTGGTGCCAAAAAGATATTGGTCCCAGAACTGATCATCATATTATTTCACAGACATCTTGCAGCCAAACTAAAACTGTCAGCTATGAGCAATTCAATCGTGGATGGAGCTGTCCATGGTTTATATAGGAAATCAAATTTACCCCAAATATTAGCTGTTTCTTGTCAGCCAGAGATAAAGTCCTGGTTTGCCCTTAGCTTGCTTAGCATGATGCACTGAACAAACCACAAACCAAGGCATCTCTCCCTGGTCAGTGAAGTCTACTTACAAGATGAGCCAGATATCACAAATTAGCATACACTGCTTTGCGCAAATCGCCTTAGTGATTTCCCCCCCCCCTTCTGAAGGTTCCCATTTCTTACCAACAACATCAAGCTGGTAGGTGTGATTGATGACTCCATATTTATTCTCCACAATGCAAGTGTAGTTGCCTTTATCCGATGGGACCACAGAGTCCATGATTATGCTCCAAGTTGCATGACGAACCTGTAGAAAGAGGATGTAGTGACTCAGTGAGACTACCTGTTGACTAAGGGTTGGGACTCAAGCACAAAAGGAGATGGTGGACGTTATTGCACTTTTGTCTTTTCTTATTAGAGCAGAGGTCTTCAAACTTGGCCCTTTTATGACTTGTGGATTTCAACTCTCAGAATTCCTCAGCCAGGCATGCTTGGCTGAGGAATTCTGGGAGTTGAAGTCCACAAGTCATAAAAGGGCCAAGTTTGAAGACCCCTGTCTTAGAGCAAGATCAAAGGTCTCTCCAGATCCTTTACTGCTTGGTTTGGGCTGCATGTAACACCATCAAGTTGAGGTTATGTTTTCCCCTTGGAGCCTACAGACTCATAATTGCTGTCAGCTGCAGGGTTGACCACAGAACTATCTACATCTGGAAACAGATATTCTGGAAGAGTGGGATGAGGTTGCTTTGCCAGCATAGGAACCAGACCTGAAAATACCTCCAGCTGCTTTCCTCCCATGAAAGAAGGTTAGTTAGCCCCAAGTTTAACCAACAAACCCCACAGTCTTTTATTTGCAGAATCTCCAAATCTGGAATCTGAATGTGTGGACCACCTGTTCTTTCACCGTGACTGTGTATCAGTCCACCATATTCCACCTTGCAGGTTGCAAAACCCCACACCATGCAACTTAGAAAACTCAGCACAGACAATACCTCAAGCTAAATAACATGCACAGGACCGTAAGGTACAACCGATGTAAAAAAGAAGGAGCTAAAATGTAATCTCGTAAAACCATGCAATTTTATTAAAAAATCAAGGAGATTTTTTTTTAAAAAAATGCCTTGGAAAAGTTAAAACAAAAATCCAAAAGGTCAGAACTTGGGCTTTGCAGTTGGCTGAGAATCTGAAGACCATAGTCAGGCGATGCTTAGAAAAATACACCGAAACACAGAGAAAATACTACAGCAGGCAGACTCTTGCTGTTTTATTGCAAATGGAAGGACTTCCATACTGGGGATTTATATTAATTTTTGTCATTCACATTTCATTTTGTCCCTCCTTTAGTATTCTTTCTAGAATGGTTCTATTCCACCATTTCTTTGATATATAGGCTCCTGAACTTGGAGTTAATGCTGAATCTGGTCTACAAGTATGCCTTTTTGTACATGTGCTAAGATACAAAACATTGATCCTGTTTTTTTAAAAAAATGGAAAAAACAACCCCATTCACAGCATAGGTTTTCACCGAAATTGCACAAATTCACAATTCTGTGGGTCTGTTTCCTTTTTCAGCCAGACACGGTCCCACCCAAGAAAGAGTGAGATCAACCAAATTTGAACTGTGACATCATTTCTAGCATCTCCCAGGATTTTGATGAAAAATTACCAACTTTTGGAGTTAATCCATCTACAGAAACCTCCTTCCACTACATACCCAGCAGCCCTTTTACTTTTATCCTAATGCAGGACAAGATTTTTGGCCAGCCACTTTTCTCTTGGCCAAGCAGCAGGCAACATCTGCCAAGGCTGCTGGCTTGCAAAGATCGTCAAGAGACACACATCTAGACAAGGCCCGACCTTTTCCGGGAAGAGGCATCGTGTGTCTGTGGAAGTGGACCAAAGAACTCAGCTAGTCCAGCACCGAATGCAAAACAAAAACCCAACCGCCAGCGACCGTCGGTTCATTAAAACCAGTATCGATTCTATGGGTGAAACTTCTTCAATCAACCATGAAGATTAAAAAAAAAAAAAGAGGAAAACACAAAACAGGATGCCTCTTGCCTGTCACTGCGGCTCAAAGGAGTTTTATTATTAACCCAGGAGCCTGGCCGGCATTGGCAGTGGGAGGCAGAGAGGCCAGGCAGGGTGGCTGAGTCACTCCGGATAGAAATAAATTGTGCAGCTGAGAGGCAAAAAGGATGAGACATCCGAGGCAAATAACAAGCCAAAAGGCCAGAATAACTCCTCGGAGTCTTTTGTGTGTTCAGCCAAACGCCTTTGCTTGGCTTTAAAGAGATTTAGGGATGAGGAGGGTCTGCCCAGCCAGCTCCAGGAGAGAAATACTAAGGAGAGCAGTGCTGAATCTAGTCCTCAGCTTATGACCGCAACGGTGCCTAGAATTTCTGCTGGCAAAATGACCATTCAGTGAATTGCCCCTGATTTTACTATTTTTTTTAATCTATCACACTTGTTAAGTGAATCACTGCAGCTGTTAAATGAATCATGCGATTGTTAAAAAAAATAACACCCTTGTTGGTCAGGAGAAATTCTTTATTAAGAGGATGGGGCAAGCTTAGGATTTCATTCCTCTCTCCTCCTTCCCACCCACCCACCCCCAGTTTTCTAGATGGGGGGGGGAGAAGGTTTTCTTAAACACCCGAGAGGACAAAAAGTACTATTATTGTGACTTCTGGTAGGAAACCAATTCATCGTTTTTCAGCAACGGAGATAAGGTGAGGTTACAAGCAAAAGAACTTAGGGACCCCCAAATCTCCTAGTCCAGAGTTAGGCAACCTTGGCTCTTTTATGACTCGTGGACTTCAACTCCCAGAATTCCTGAGCCAGCATGAGGGAAACTTTGGCCCCTTCATGACTCATGGACTTCAACTCCCAGAATTCCTGAGCCAGCATGGCCCAGCTTGAAAACCTCTCCCTTTCCCCTCAACATGGCTGGCTCAGGAATTCTGGAAGTAGAAGTCCACCAGTCATAAAAGAGCCACGGTTGCCTACCCCTGTCCTAGGGCCACAAGTTGTCCATCCTTCTCTTATTTTGTTGGAAAACTATTTTAAAGAGGAGATGGAGGCTAGTTTAACTGGAGAGCCTTACTTTTTTATTGACTTACTTCAGGTTAAAATGTTAAGGCTGATGACAAAGGCCCTTTTACCTTGGAACCTGTGGTGCAGCGAGATCACTGCAGATCCTGAACTTAGTCGTCTTTATGGGAGCCCGCTCCTCTTTAAACCAAACAGCCACCTAAAGAAGAAATACCTCTCTGTTCCAGAAACCAAATCTTTCAAAAGGAAGCCGAGCATTTATGATTTACCTTGTATCCACCGATGCGATGATCTGGCTTGAATTCCCTGCCGTTCTTCAGCCAACGCAGGGTGGGTGTGGGTGTCCCACTAGAAGAACATCTGAACTTCACCGTTTTGGCCGCAGGAACTGCATGGAGCTTCTTCTCCATTTTCTCTGGGTACGTCCAGTAAGGTGGGATGGCTTCTGCAAGAGAACCCACAACTATGTTGCACATTAGGCAAGGTTAGTGAAGATACGGGTGTCAACTCTGTAACGAACCTGGCTGCAGCCATTTTTGTCGTTCTAGGTTGTCACGAGAAATGGAGGGGGAAAAGGTATTTCTGAATTCTTGCGGGAACCAAGGTTGTTCCCATACCGAAGTGGAGAAAAAAGATCATTTAGTCAGAAAGCCCACCAAGCCGTTCTATTGGATAGCATGAGTAGAAGTGTGGGAGTTGTTATATTGTGTTACTTTGATTCTTGGGGCGGAAGAGTTTAGATCTGGTTTCACTTTCGACCGTGCCGATATCATGTATTCAATAAACATGTTTTTTGAGGAATTTCCATGCCTTGGAGTTCTGATTTATATGGTGTCATTGATTGGAAAACCATAACAACAGGAGATTGTTCCAACAGAAGGACAATCCCTCCTCCTTGAAGAAAAACGGGTCAACAATCGTTGGCGTTGGAGTCCTAACTGGAAGCTTTGACAGCCAAGTAATTATCTGCATCTCCTAAACCACTCGAGATCCCGGCCAGAGGGAGCAATTCAGGTTGTTCAAAACTTGGATGCTTTACCTAGCATGGAATCCTCCTAAGCATGGGAATTGGGTGACACTGGAGAATCAGTGCCATACTATGGTTCACCATAAAGCCTTTTTAAAATATTTTTTTGGATCTGGCCTATTCAACTGATCTTTTAGATATATAAGCCAACAAATCACCACGTGATGACGGCCTGTCATCCAGCCTAGCTTACAGCTTCTGATCTACGTGCATCAAGTGCTTGTCCACCTTACATAGCAATGGGCATCAAAGAAGTTATAGTAGGCTGCTTTTGTGATGCCCATTTCTCCACCAATAAAAGGAGAAAGCAAAGTAAGCATTCCTCTTCTTAAATATTCAGCCTTAGGAGATGCCCTGATTAAATTTAGGGCACGGATAGTTGGGGTTTCATGTAGAAGCTTCGGGGGACATTGAGGTGTATGAGATAATCCAGGTAGTCCTCAACTTTACCACCACATTTGAGCCCCCAATTTCTGTTGCTAAGCGAGACAGTTACCAAGTGAATTTGGCCCCATTTTACACACTTTCTTGCCACAGTTGCTAAACGAATCAATGTAGTTGTTAAGAGAGCAACACAATTTGTAAGTGAATTTGGCTTCACCATTGATTTCGCTGGTCAGACGGTCACCAAAGGAGATCACAAGACCCAGGGACACTGGAGCTGTCATAAATACGAGTCCATTGCCCAGCATCTCAATTTTGATTACATGAACTGGGGTTGCAAGTGTGAAAAACGGCCGTTAAGTCAACTTTTTAAAGTGCTGTTGTAATTTTGAAAAGTGGCTAAACGACTATTGTAAGTCGAGGTCTACCTGTAAAGTAGATGGGAATCTAGTGCATCTGGCCAGGCTGGTGATTTGCTCCTTCTGCACCGGATGGGAGGCAAATGTACTCTTTCTTTAGTTAAACCACTAATGCCTGTTTTAGGCTTACGTTATAGTTTTTGTGCAAGTCATGCCTTAAAGTGAGAGGAATCTAAACAGTGATGCAGTAACGAAGGACAGTCAAAGCAAAAGGATTTGCAAAGGAGTGTAAGCAGCCCAGGAGAGTATCCTGGGGTTAGCCACTCCAGTTTTAAGTCCCTGCAGAAAGTAAAGAGGTGCCACACCAGATTCAGCTCTTTATGGAACAGGTTCACCAATTGGGTTTGCAAGAGGTTCATGGCTGCAAGGTAGGAAAAACAGACGCTTCTACGTACGGTTCGGTTTGGAGTTGTCTGCCTCTTTTTCCTCTGAGGAAGAATCATCGTCGTCGTCATCATCTTCTGCAGATGGAAGAGCATCTAAGGAGGATAGAAAAGGTAAATATGAGTTGAGGAATTGAGCTTTTCCCAATGAGATAAGACAGTGTTTCTCAATCCTCAGGAGCTTTAAGATAGGTAGACTTCAACTCCCAGAATTCCCAAGCCAGCACTGAACTTCTGAGATGTTATTGTTAAGTAAGTTTTCTTCAGAGTCAGCGAAGCAAGGAAGAGTTCTTGTCGGCGGACAAAAAGTTGGGACCCTGGAGATATCATATGTTTCAGATGTCACTATTACTATCTCTAGATTTTCTCCTGAGAGAGGCAGAGCTGGCGACAAGCAATCATGTTGGCTATCTCTGAAAGCAGGACAAAATGTGTGGACGTTTGTCATTAAGGCAGCCATTTGGCAAGCCTGTCAGGAATATCCTGTTTGTCACTTGGTATGGATTAGTTCTTCTATTAACAGCTCATCACCAGATAGAACTGCACTTGGACCAAACCATTTCAGAGTGCAGAGGGAGCTACAAACACACCATGAGAAGCTTCTCCATGGGAGAAAAGACAACTAAAACCTCAAGAGGCCTCCTACATCTGTCTTCTTATATGCTTCTTATCTGAGTTATCAAAAGCAGCAGACTCCCTGGAAAGGCTTTTATCCATTCATAAATGGTTGGCTTGACAGAATCTCAGAATCACAATCAGAGTGGTTAAGAAGTCAGTCTTCCCAATAATCTATTAAGGCAGAGGTGGATCGTGAAGTTTGGCAGTTCCCTATCTTAGGCCAATTTAGCAGATTAGGAACTACTGATGGGAGACATCAGGAAAGCTTGCACGGTGCTAATGCCTCCATTTTCAGCTAATGGAAATGTCAGTCTTATTCAGCCCATCTAGATTTTTCAGAATCTTGTTCTTTTTAAAATGAAAACCACATTTTTCTTCCGTCAACCATCAATCAATCCATGATCTTTTCTACATTACAAGAGAATGCTAGCGAACACAGGAAGCTGTGCTAAATTGAAAATGGCCATGACGTATTCTGTCATTCTTCCCCCAACCATCCGTATCACCTCTAAATCAAAACGAATTTGTCAGTTTCGATAGGACTTTCAAACTGGAGAAAATCCGATCAAATGCATCCTCAGACTTGCTTGGTTATATCCACAGGGAGCCAAACGAACTTCGGTGGGTCCATGAAATGAAGGAGGCCCACCAAAGCTGCCCACGAAAATCGCCTCTTACCTTCATCAAACTGGCACACAATTCAAAGAGTAAATTTATACCTCCTGGCCCACTAAAATTAACAGTTCAGAAAGAAAAAGTATGTGATCGCTTGCTCAACGTAAAGCAGAACAGTGTTTATTTTCGCCAACAATAAAAGCCTTTCAAAAAACACCACCCATACCACCCTAGTTCACTTTGAACCCTGATCCATTTTCGCCCTAGGGTTGAGCATATCAGGAGAGGCTGAAGGCATGAACATTTAAAAACCTGTGGACAATGTTTTTTTTTTTTTAAAGAATAGTTGGAGAGACTATTCCAGAGGTGTCCCCTTGGGCATCACATTGTATAGACCAGGGGTAGGCAACCTTGGCTCTTTTATGACTCATGGACTTCAACTCCCAGAATTCCTGAGCCAGCATGAGGGAAACTTTGGCCCCTTCATGACTCGTGGACTTCAACTCCCAGAATTCCTGAGCCAGCATGAGGGAAACTTTGGCCCCTTCATGACTCGTGGACTTCAACTCCCAGAATGGCTCAGCTTGGAAACTCTCCCTTTCCCATCAGCATGGCTGGCTCAGGAATTCTGGGAGTTGAAGTCCACGAGTCATAAAAGAGCCAAGGTTGCCTACCCCTGGTATAGACTGAATCCTGGTCTCCCAACAATCCAATCCTGGTAAGATTGGGAGAAAAAAGGTAAGGCTGACAAAGACAATTCAAAATTGTCCTTCCCAGTAGCTCTCATTCATCCTGCTGGTAACCTGCTACAAACCTGAGACATTTACGGAGAAATAGGTGGTCTCGCTTCCTGAGGGGCTGTTGGTCATGCAGGCGTAAAGACCGGAGTCCTCAGGCACAGCTTCCCTGACCTCTACCTCCTCCCCTGTGATGCGCGTCCGGTTGTTCTCGGATAGCTGGATCCCGTCTCGCACCCAGTTGATGCTCTGAACATCGTCCCGGAGCCGGCAGCGCAACTGGAGGAGGTCGCCAGGGTGAGCCGAATAAGACTCCACTTCAAGGCTTGTTTGGGGGAGAACTGGAAATGTTAGGGGAGAAAAAAAGAGACAGAGAGAGGGAGAAGCAAGGTGGTGAATGCTTTATTGCAGATGCATTCCTCTGGCAGCATGCAAACATTGGAGAGAACAGTGTCCTCTGACAGTTTTTAAGACTCGAGCGTCAGCTGCCATGCAGGTCTCAGGGAGAGCAAGGCAAGCAAGAATCTGCAACAGAGCTTTTCATGTCAATTACCGATCCAGCACTATCTATGAACACAGAGCTGTTTATATATATATGTATAATAAAAATAATATGTTATTAGGAACCAAGGACAAAGAGGGCTGAAATGAGCAAGGAGCTGCGCCAAAACAAACGGCAAGTCAAGGATGGGCAATCCAGCAGCCATGGCTTTGCCTGAACTTCAGGCACAGGTAAGCAGGCTGCCATCCGGCTTTCAGCGCAGGGAAGGACAAAGAGGAGGCAAGGGTTAAAAGCTATTATAGGAGAATGAAATCTCTCTCCCCTCTTTCGTTGCATGGATCTGTTGTTCTGTAGGGCTTCTTTCTTAGGTCATCGGTAGAGCATCGCTTGTGCACGATCATGCTCTGAAGGGTCCTTGGTGCTTTCTGAGCTTGGTTGTTTTCTTGCAGACGTTTCATTACCCAAGCTAGGAAACATCATCAGTGCCGGCACGATGATGATTTTACCTGGTTTGGGCACTGAAACATCTGCCAGAAAACAACCAAGCCCCAGAGAGCAGCAAGGACCTCTCATTTCAACCCTGAGCTACGAATATTCTCCTTTATTGTGACCATGCTCCGGAGTTGCCTCTACAAAGCTAATCGTCTGTTGAGTGAATCCTTGACTGTGCCACATCAGTATGCTAGGGGAAAGATAGAATTGGCTGATTTAATTTCCTGCTCTCTCTTTTTTTAAAGTGCTTCTATAGGATAGAAAGTTATTCCTGCAAGCCTACTCTGTCCACTTGCCCTGGAGTAGTCTAAGGACAGTATTAACACCCCATTTTCTCTTGGGGAGAAATATCCCTCTGAAGACAAGAAATTCACCAGCATTCCTGTCTAGTCTCAGATCAGCAAAAACCACCGTCTTCCAGATGTTTCTTACTTACCATAATCAATAAAGCACCCAAGAGAGACCACCAGGGTTTCTTCCAGATGTCTTGTCAGTGGGCTTATCAAATTTTGGCAGGCACGAGGATGAGAAGATTTGAGTTTTGAGGAATATTTTCTGATTTTCAGAATAATAAATTCTCCAGTTGTTTGGAAATTGGAAGTAACACGGGTGGAGGGGAAAGCCTCACCCTGGGAGGGCATGTCATCTCATCCTACGCTGAAATCATTGACTCTAGAGACCACTTTGGAGAGACAATGGCGAGAAACCGCCATAGTTGGCTGGGATTCAGATCTTGAGCTCAGCCATTCCTACCGAGTTGCCATCCACACCATTGACAGAAGTGGTAGGTTGGCTGGGGACCCAGCTCACTTTCTCAATTAAAGGTGGTTCTCAACTTACGACCACAATTGAGCCCAACAATTTCTGCTGCTAAATGAGACGGTGAATTTTGCTTTCCATCAGAAAGAATGGGGAGAGGAATTTGCAACAGATCTGTTCCCTTTCGTTTCCCAGGCACAGAATCGGTCTGAAATATCTTTCTGGGACTGGGTGATCAATTCTTTCTCCTCCTTTATCCTGGCTGCTGAAAACCAGAATTAGTGTGATTAAACTTGTGAGACCTTCCCACCCTCGAAATCTTTTTGGGTGAGTTTTTATTACCTCAGCTGAAAGTCTGGACAATGATAGCCATTCAAACCGACCGACAGCAGAATTGCAGCCGGGAGTAGCAAACTCTTCAACAAAGGGTCAGCGTTATGTCCGGAGAATCTCAGCCTCAAAAATACACTCAAAGCAAAGAAAAAGCAGCTGCCACAAAAACCAAACATTTGTTTGGTGAGTACAAAGGTCCTTTCCTCTCTTTTTTTCTCCCCCAGTTCTCCAATTTGGTGAGCTCCATTTTGCCCTTAATTGGGCAAGTGGTTCTCTAAATCAGAAAGAAAAACAAGCAACGGAACCAAGAATTGGCTTGGTGATACACTGCTGGGTCTAGCTTAAGGGAACTGTAGTTCAACTCATCTGGGAAGCTGTTACTTTACGGAACTAGTTTCTTCTTTGCTCACAACTTTAACGTTCCACTATTCCATGCAGGAAGTTTTTTTTTTTAAATGTATTTATAACATTTATTGGCTGCCCATCTTACCACAGGATACGTTTCTACTGATGGTCCAGAAAGTTCAAAAAGATGAGTTTCTGAAGAAGAAGAAATTGCTGCTAAATTCTCTGTTCAGTTCTTGTTTAAAAACTCTGCCGGATCTTGGCCTTCTCCTTTCACCTCTCCTCCAAAAGAGACATCATCAGCCTTGACCAAGCACGAACTATGATTCTGGATGTTGCTGACTTCCCTACAGTGACTTGCATTATGATACACTCGGATTCAATTAAAGTATAATAATCAGCGATTGGTAAATCACAGGCACAAGAGAAACAACAAAATAAGCATACACCTACAGAAATATTTTTTTTTAAAAAAAAAATAGATATGGCTACCCTATTATTCTAGAACCAAAACAGATTTTAAACCTGTTAAAGAGAACCTGTAATTTAATAGTGTTGCTCTAATGCCAGTTCACTAATTATCAATTAAACTGAAAAAAATCAGGAGTCATCTGGTAGCGCCTTTTGTTATTTAAAAGGTAGAGGCTGGATTTTTCGAACTGTCTTCTATAGAACCCAAGGTGTTTATGAGACCTTGATGAGGTTCTGTAAGAAATTAAGGATATAAGAAAGAGTTCACTCAAACACAGTAGGTTATCTATCACTAGAGCTTTGTCCCTTGATCAGAGTTTCTGCGGATTTTCTAAATAACAAATTCTGCACCTAAATGTTTAAAAACCTTGTCGTATCCCAAACGATTTTCCTACAAATTCTGCAACTAAACTGGGTTACACTGTTTCTGAATTACAACTTCAAACTCGGTGCAAAGTGTTGATGATGATTCAATAAACATTAGCTCTTGATATATACATTTAAATCTGGGGTGTCCAATATTGGCAAGACGGATGGACTTCAGCCAGCAAGGGGAATTCTGGGAGTTGAAGTCCATAGAATTTAAAGTTGCCAAGACTGGACCCCCTGATTTAAAAGAAGCTGTGATTTAGATTATAAAACCGCTTGGATCGAAATAGAAAGAAGCAGTATCCGTGTGGAAAACTTACAGAGCTGAATCTATCAATATATTCAATAGTAAATGAGTTTTAAAGTACTCTCTCCAGACATTATTTGATTCATGCAAATATTGATAAATGTTTATCTGTGCAAATGTCACTTCCCTAATCAACATGGACAGCCATCAAAACATATTTTATAGTGGCCATTCATATAATACATTTGTGGGATAGATCTCAAATGTGCTTATTTTACAGATACCGCTTAGAGACAAAAATGTTCCCACTTATCTTACTTATCATCTAATAATCTCCGGTAGGCCTGAAATGTAATAATTCTTCCACATTCAGAATTCCCAAGTGAAAGGCTAAAATACATTGTAATCATAATTGTCATTATCATCATTATTTTAAATTTATTAGCTGCCCAATTCCAATGGCATGCAAAACTAGAGAAACCTAAACACAGCTATAAACCTAAAATTAGATGAACAGCCCAGATGAAAATAATCTAATAAAGAGCAAAATCAACAAAACAAAACACTAGGCTGATAAACACTAGCCTTGAATTCCTGATCACTAGTTTGATTTCTCACTCACTCATTATCTCAATATCACCCCCAGGTACAGTGGTACCTCGGTACTCATTGTTAATTGGTTCCAGAAGGTTCCATGAGTACAAAACAATTTTTTCCCCCATAAGGAATAATGAATCACAAGGCAGCCAACACCAGCAAGTTCTAGCTTGCGTATTGAGTATCAAACAAATAATGAGTTCCGGGACAAAACTTTCATGTCAAAATGCATTGAGTGCCAAATTTGATGAGTTTCAAAGCAGTTGGGTACCAAGGTGCCACTGTATAATAAAACCATCTTAACCTTTATACATGATCAGCTTCTATGTGATGCTCTGGGAATTCTGGGAGTTGAAGCCCACAAGTCTTAAACTTGCCTCCTACAGGAAAAGGGAGAAGGTCATTATGCACACAGCCTTTGGCTTCTAAAGGAAAGATGGGAAATAAATCAAGGAAATAAGAGACTGTGCAGTGTAGTGGTTAAAGTACTGATCTAGGCACAGGGAGATCCAGATTCTGATCCTTCCTTACGCTTGGAAGCCAGCTGGGTGTCCTTAAACCAGTCTCTTCCTCTCAGCCCTAAAGAGCATTAAGCTCTACAGCAAGATGGCTGAAACATAAAACATGTTGCGTCCTGCACCAGGAAGCTTCATTGTAAGGAGTAGAAGAGCACAAAGCAAAATAAGCAGACCCACAACTAAGCTGAAAGAACAGCAAGAACGTCATCGTCATCAAATGAAGCATGACTGAAGCAAGAACTGGCACAATCAGAGGTGCCCCGTGATGAAAATATGGAAGGGCACGGAAGTTTTCGATACACTGATGGATCCATATGTTTTATTTTATCCAATAGGCACATTCCCTGAAGTTTTGGGCCCTGAATTTATGTAGATCAAGATTAGGTTGTTCGCTCCTATTTAATCCAATAATAATTACTTCCAAATGTACGTATACAGGATTGCAAATTTTAATGTTCTCATAATTGAGCTTAATGTATATCTTTGCTTGTATGCAGAAAAAGGAAGAGGAAAACCCGGGTGGTCTCTGAATCATCATAATCCTGAAATTGGTAAATGCTCCATGACCATAAATTTTTGGATTACATCCCTAATCTCAGTTTAGTTCTAAATACCTGTTGACTGTTATAGTTGCCACCTAGTAGATACACTTGCTTGGAGAACAGTAGATTATCGTGGAAAAAATAGTTAACGGCGATGTCTTTTCCT